TGGCAGGTGCTCTGAGCTCTTTTCTTTTGGGGTGTTCAGCGTTGCTGGTGGAGGGGTGAGGGGATCTTATCGAGCTTCTGAACTGGTACTGCAAGTAACAGCTCAGGGGAAAAGTAAAAAAGTTTCTGGGCTCTTGTCTGATGTCTGGGAAAACAAGATCCAAGAGGACTGCAGGTGACAGGAGCAGTGTTTCTCAGTCAATAAGTGTCACAAACAAATCTCATTTAGGCTCCTGAAAGTTTTGTCTGAAGTAGGTAACCAAAGGCACCACATAAGTGCGCTCCTGGCTACAACATTGTTCAGGTTGGTGCAGAATGTTCAGGGTACACAAACTCAGTTGTTCTGAATCAAACCTCACTCACGTGGTAGAGTTTGGAAAAAAGGTACTTGCAATTGTGAAAGGCCAGTTTTCAGTCTGGCCTTGAAACTCTGGGTCAAAGCTGTTGTAATCAGTGTACAAGCAAGGGTTGTGTTCAGCAGCAAGCTCTGTGGAGATGATTTTGTGCTTGAAATGGAGCTTTCTAGCTCCAGAGATCTGCATGTGCCAGGTCTGCGCAAAACTGAGGCTGGTATGATACAGTGGGTGTTTCACAAGGGCTTTATACTTTCAAACATTTGCACAGCACAAGTATTTTCTGCTTTTCCTGATAACAGAACCTGCTCTATCTAGAAAAAACCCAGAGTTTCCATATGCCAGTCTAAAATGTTAGCTTGGATATGCAGATGGAACTTACCTGACACGCCTCTGAGGAGGTGAAGGCTCCTTTGGTTTAAATGTAGCGTCTTGTCTTTAGCAAGAAGCTGTTTTCTGCAGAGCCTGGGGAGTAGCTAATGGCATGAGACTGTGGGTACTGTATGGTTGGTTTTTGCGTGCTCATTCTAAATTCATGCTGTAGGAATCTGCTTTTGCTAAATCTGTAATTTGTTCTAGATTTAGATACCTCAATGGACGTGTGGAACTTCTTTTACACTTGCATGGTGTCCTTATGGCTGCACAGATTTTACATCTATTCTGCTGTTGCTGTTGGGATCAGCATTTGGGTCGTCATTCAGTTCACCACGAACAAAACCAAAAAGAAGGTAACTGAACATATAAGTGCTTTTGTCTGAGGAAACCCCAAAAATCTGTGTGGGGAAGTGAGTAGTTGCCAGGTAAAGGTGCTCGCTGATGCAGTGAAATGTGCTGCTTCACTCTGGGCTCACCTAGGTGGTTGTGAACCCCGAATGTAGTTTAGTTCGTGTGATGGTTATAATTCTCGGTGTGGATTGTCTTATGTTTGTGGGTAACTAAATGCCCTCGTTGCTCTGATGTTAGAGCAGGTCTCAGCTGAACACTTCTTCCTTTGTTGCTGAGAGAGTCTGTCAGCCTGAGCTGCTCTGTCATGTCAAGTAAATCACCCTGCCTCTGCCCAGTGTTTTCACGTTCGTGTTTCCAGTGATGTTAACGACAAGGTTGGACTTATTTTAGGGTGGGAGTGGGATTGGGCCATTCAGGAATTTAAAACCTTGTGTAGGTGAGTGAAGTTCTGCTGCGTGAGTTGGGAGGTTCTCTGTTTCAGCCGGATCCTGTTATCACCCGGGTGTGTGAGATTAGTGTATTGTAGTTCAGAAAAGTAGTTACTGGTGTGTTTCTCCAGGTGTGAGAGAAACTAAAATGCTTTGACTGTTGCATTGGTGTAGTGCTGAGAGTTTGGTCATGGGATTTGAATTTTAAATGCATTTGGGAAAATGGGCTTACCATCACTTTGAAAAGGGATTGCATGTGACACAGTGCTTGTTTCATAGAACGAAAAATCCAACAAGAATCTTGCCACTTCTGAAGGCGTAGAAGACAAACTAGTAAATGGATATGCCACCCTGCACGCAAAGGAGGTCTATGTTGCTGGGGTAAAGATTTTCTATGGGTCT